ATTGTGCAGGTGAAATCCAAGGGTCCTTGTCCAGCTGCTTCAAGCTGCTCAGCCATTGCACTGGCACGATCAAAGCTAAAGGCAGCAACACGACTACCACTTCTCCCACGTAGCTGTTCAGCTAATCCTAATCTGTACAAGACCTGAGCCACCACAACGTTATGTGGAGTTTGCCCAAGCCTATGAGCAAGTCTCAGAAATTTGACACGGATCATCTGGAGCTTTTCACGGATCTCATCATACTCCTCGGTCTCCACATTTGTCGGATCTTCGACGAGTTGGTCCTGCACTCGAGAAACAGCTCCATTCACTCGAGGTTGCTGTACAACCCGAGAAGTAGGTTCCAGTAGCGGGGCAGCACGACCAAGCCCAGCAGGACGAGCAGGAGTTGCAGAGTTAACACTGGACAGAGGAATATCAGCTGCAGGCCTGATCACCTGTTCTTTGTTTCCTAGTATATTCTGAGAAGGTTCTAACTGCAGGGATGCATGCTCACGGCCAGCAGGATGAGCAGGAGATGCAGTGTTAGCATTAGATGAAGAAATGTCAGCTGCATGTTTGATTATCTCTTCTCTATCATTCAAAACATTCTGAGAAACAGGTTCCTCTATCTGGGAAGCACACTCGAGGCCTACAGGATGAGCAGCGGAAGCAGAAGTGGAAGAGTTGCTATAGGAGGATGAAATATCAGTAACTGGTCTCACTTCATGCTCTGTATTCCCAGAAGCAACCTGCTCATCTTTCTCGTCCTTCTGTCCTTCCTTCTCTTGCTCCTTGACAACAACTTCGGACACTTCGTCACTTGCACAGACAAGTAGAGGTTGAGAAGCCCCAGGATTTTCAGCTACCAATTCAGATGAGAAAAAATGGGGCTGCTCAACACTTTCAGCCACAGAATCTTTTGCCAAAGGTAAACTCGCAACCTTCAGGTTCATTGTGCTTTCCTCAACTTCAGCAAGTAAATTATTGTCGAGCCCAGAACTTTCGTTCACTTGTACAGACGCAGAACCATCTGGGGCTGATATACCCCCATGTTCTCCCACATCAATATCCCGATTGTCAGCTTCCTCACTGTGTGACTCTGGTTTTTTCAGTTCTGTACTCTCGTCATCATTGCTTTGGGCTCCAGAAATAAGTGATTTTTCAACTTGCTCTCTGAAATTAACCACAACAGTTGTTTCATCATGATGCAAAACACTCCCATTGGACTCAGACTCTGACCAAGGATCAATTGCAATTCCCTTTATCACATTAGCATCTTGGGTTTCTGACGAAGTCTTATGACTATGTTCTTTCAGTGCATCAGTGTCCAAAAGGATTGGGTCTTCAAGAGTCAAAGTTTCAGCCAAATTTATATGATCTGACATGCCATTCACAGGCTTTTCTGAAGCAGTATCGCCTCCTTTAACCTCATTGGCATCTCGAATATCTGAAATCTCGTGAATTATGGCTTCCTTCATGTTAGGCTTCTCAGAGCCCACATCAACCCCTTTTAACTCACTGACAACTTGAGTTTCTGACATCTCAGTAATATGTTCTTCCTTTATGTCTGCAACCAGAATCTTCATCTCTGTAGGATCTGATGCACCTGTTTCAGGATTCTCAGAAGACTTGCCTAACTTTTCATTGTAGTCATTTAGATTTTCAGTTTCACCAGCAGCAACAGAAATGGTGTGACCTGTGCCATTCTCAACAGCACTGTCATCCATCAGCCTATTCCTTTCATCCGTCACAGGTTTCTCTACAGCAATTTGATTATCGTCAGAATATTTATTCATAAAAAATTCAGCCTTCGAACCGGACTCCTCAACTGCATTCCGCATTGCACCAGAAACCCCAATTGCCTCTTCAAACTTCTCAGCCTCGTTGCCGAGATCTGAATTCTCATTACCATTCTTTGAAGTCGCAATTGTCTCAACATTTTCATCTTTATTCGCATCCATATCCTCTGGGTCGACCCTCGGAGTCCCTGCCACTGCCTCCTCAAATACTTCATCCCCATTCGAGTCCTTTGATCCATCCAAACCTGAATCAGCATTTTCCTCTGCTCTTGACTTAGTAACCTCATTGTTTACACCATTTTTCTCCCCAAACTTAGACCCATCCGCAATGGCAATACCATTTTCCATCACAAAGCAAACTTAAACGCCCAAGATTCACTGAAATGTAAAAATAATAAATAAACGGTAAATAAATCCAAACACAAAATAACTCAACAAGAGATATTAATAGCACAAACAATGAGTTCTAGCAATCATATGATATCGCAGTTTTGTGCAAACTCACCAACAAGATTCACTAAATAACCAATTGAACTACGAAAAAGCCTAACAACCAAAATATCAATACCATTAAAAAAAAAAATATCTCCTTAATGAAAATAAAGCTAGAGAAACCCATACATTATTGATTTCGAGCGCATAAAACAAAATAATAATAATTTCGCAAGCTAATCAGTTCTCTAACACTTAACCTGTATAAATAGATGCATACGAGCATAAAAATCAAATCTTTAGTGTACATAAATTCGGGTTTTGCATAAATTAATTCAGAGCCACCGAAACTAATTAAAAAACATAAATTTCAAGTGAAAACAGAAAAAATTACCAGGCAATTTGCTTGATATATAGAGAGAGAAACAGAGGTTTAGGGTTTTGGGGTGAGAGAGGATCGGGAGTGGCTCTCTACTGAAGTAGAAAGGAGATCGTCTTTGTAAACAGCAGAACCTGAAATATTTAACTGGGGAAATTGAGGATAAGAGTTAATCGACGATCGAGACGGTTGAAGTTTTGGGATCTAAAGGTGAGAAATTACGTATGAGGTTATTATTGAAAAATGTCAACTGAATAGTGGAGAAAGGATTAGGTGTTTCATGGAACACGTGGTGCCAACTGGATTGTAATCAATAGGTTTAATTTGCACCGTCGACACACCAATACATTGCAATAGGATTAATTATTTGAATAGTCATTGTACCAAGTGCTATTACTCAATATTTGAATTTAAATTTGTATTTCAACCGTCACTAAATTATATCAAGTGTTACTATTTAATAATTAAACTTAAAATTATACCTCAATGGTCACTGAATTATGCATCGTGTTATTCATTTATCACTCTAGTCAGCGTCGTAATGGATCTTTCCATGTATCAAATAGATTTTTAGAGATGGCAAAAGGAATTCGTTCAATCCGATACCCGTGAGGTCCTACTCCGAATGAGATAAAGATTACTCGTCTGATTAGGTAAATGGGGTGAGGGCAGGATAAGGATCATTGCCCTGA